GTGGGGCCCTGTCTTGGCCTGTATGATGTTTATGTACTCTTAGAGGCTTGACTATATAGATGCTTGTATGGCCTTGTCGGCCTATGTTTTGAGTTTAGAAATGATCATGTCAGCCTACTAGGCCCGTATGTCACATGTATAAGTTACTATATCATGTTCAGTCATCCTATGTCTAGTATTCCTTTATGTTTTATTCTGATTATCTCATGACAACCCTTTTGGCCCATTTACCAATGATAGTACAATAAGAAAGATATGTTACGTGTGTACTCGATTGAGTAAAGTACAGGGTGCCCGTCGTGGCCCTTCGGTTTGGGTCATGACATTACTGTTCCATTTCGTTCCGTATTTACTTTTGCTTTATTATATATTATTGCGGGTTATATTGTATATGCCCCGCCATAGCCTCATCACTACCTCATCAAGGTTAGGCTCGGCACTTACCAGTACATGGGTCGGTTGTACTGATACTGCACTCTGCACTTCTCATACTTCATCCAAGAGACCCAAGGTAGTCCTGCTAGCGTCCGCAAGCCCTGACGCCCCCTATTATGTTTTCCTTACTTTTGTTTATTTCTTTTCGAGATAGATGTATTTTCTTCTTTCAGACCCATACTTGTAGTTATTCATAGAATGTTCGTGAATTGAGACACCAGTTTCTGGGTGGTAACAGTTTCGAAGTTGTTAATAGCTTTTATAAAATTGGTTTTATATGTACTTCCGCCTTTAATTTTGTTCGAATTAGTTTTGTTAATTCTAAATTATGAAAATATAAAGGAAACGGTGAATATAACTCTAATGTTGGCTTGCCTAGCAAGTGCAATGTTAGGCGCCATTACAGTCCCGACGGTGGGGAATTTGGGTCGTGCTAAGTTGGTATTAGAGTACTAGGTTGCCTAGGTCTCACAATTCACGAACAAGCTTAGTAGAGTCTGAGAGATCAGTACGGACTATCAAGGCCCAAGGTGAATGGGTAAGTGTATATGTAAAGAAAGCCAGCCTTGAAGTCGGTAATGTTATCATTGGGCCAGGGAATCTCTTTCTCCACTGCCTCGCCTCATCGGCAGTCCTTCCTCACTTTGCTATCATCGGTCACGACACTAACATATCGAGACACGTGCTCGCATTGACCCGGCGTAGATGAGGGAGTCTCGATGTCAAAATCCTGTGATGTGTAGAGATCAGGAGGAATCCATTACTCTAAAGTGGGAACTGATTTGTTTTCCACCTTAGGTAATCGGGACGACGACGCAGCATCACTCCGTCGGGGGACCGTCCTAGAAGTCCTAGCCATGAAGAATGATAAAAACCCTTCTGACAAAAGAGGGAAGGATATCAAGTAGTAAAATTCTGGTTCGCGGGCTTACAGGAAAGGTGGAGATGGGAAGTATCTGGCAACCAGTGCATTTATAGGAAGTATTGGAGAAGCAGAAGAGACGAGCCTACGGTAGTTCGTAGGTTTCTCAATTACCGCATCTGACGGCGGCCCGGCACGGTTCTCTGGGGCATGGCATTTAATGCTCTTAGACGGTTGACGTCATGGCAATAATGACCTCGAGACAACGATTCAATATCGCTTCCTATTACTTTGTTCTAGAAAACGCGGAGACTATCTGTATGCGATGAAATCAGGGGAATCGATTTCCCGCCATTGAGGTATATTTGGAATATCATGTCAGCACCTCGAGGCTATGGGATTGTGATCAAGCTCCCTATCTTGAGGATCGTCCGCGAACCAACAGAAATTCTGAGAATAAGAAAATCGCTAACGGCCCGATAAAGGCTCCGAGGATAGGGGATTCCCGAGGCAGGCAGCTGGACTCAGCAAACTCTAGTACCTCGGCTAGCCGTTCCATCCCCGCATCTTTACATTTAATGCATTTTGTACCATATCGCGTTCCCTCGCCTATATAAGGGGAACCCATGCCACTTTGTAGAGGACTGATGTTGCTCCATTTCTCCACAAGTGCAATAATCTCTCTCTCTCTCTCTCTCTTTCTCTCTTTCTCTCTTTTCTTTCTA